TGTTGTGGCTGTTGTTACCCTTTCTGTTGCTGTTGTTGTTGTTGTTGTTGTTGTTTTTGTTGTTGTGCCCGTTGTTTGTGTTCGTTATTGGTGTGAATGTCGTTGTTGGTTGGCTGCACAAGTGCTGTTTCGTCCCTTGTGCAACGCTCATGCCTGGCTTGGGCCCTTAGGTTACCCCGACTTCACCCCGACGTTATTGGTTGTGGTGAGAACAGCGGTCTACGGCAACAGGATACAAGCCAACACCAGTGACCTGGAACACCCTACAAATTCGAAGAGATCAGGGGTAAAAAACCAACAGCTGCACGCGAGCAATATTTATGTTTTTTCTTGCTGTTTTCGTCGCCAGAAGTTGAATTTTTCATTTACCAATCGATATTTCTGTTGACGCATGCACCCGAACGATGGACCCGCCGAGGCAGGCTGTGGATGTTCATGCCCGGGATCTCTCTGTGGAGAGTGCTGTTGCAGCTGGCGGGCATGTCGCTGCTGGTGAGCTACTGCGTCACCCTCACCCTGCGGGCCTTCCATAGCACCCGCTGCAGGGCCGCCTTCAACTGCGACCCCGAAACCGACCCAAAGCTAGCCAGCCTTCGAGAGTGGCAGGTGAAAAAAAAAAAAGAAAAACATCGGTATGAAAGTACAGCGATAACGCTTGAAAAACAGCAAGACGCTTGTATTAACTTGAACGGGTAGAACAGGTAGTCTCTCTGATTGTATGTTTGCTTTTCTAACGAAAAATCTAGGGTTGCACGGAAATCGGGGTTGAAAGTCGGGATTTCGATGGAAATGAAATGGGTGCGGTCTTTCCTACCATTTTTCGCTGGGAGGAAACCCCTTGTACTGTGGCCAGCCTCCGAGAGTGGCAGGTGAAAAAAGAAAAAAAATAGGTATGAAATTACAGCGAAAGAATCGGAGGGTGTACGATGCTGTTGTTGTTGTTGCTTTTGTTGCTGCTCTTGTTGTTGTTGTCGTTGATGTTGTTGGTGTTGTCGGTGTTGTTGTTGTTGTTGTCTACCCGTATGCTTTTCGGCGACGTCGTGGA